TTTGCTCTCCCTGTCCATCCACATATGACTATCTAATATCCAGATATAGTTCCTGTTAAATTTGCTGCACTTCCTCTTTTTCCCTTGTTTTTTACTTAATACTAACCCTTTTATCTACTTAAATCTTGTTAATCGTGTTTATGCCAATATGTCGTGTCCCTTATTGGCCATATCTTCAGACCTCTGATTCTGAACTCATGAAACGCATTTTGTGTTAATATAACATTCTATTTATGATTTGACAAATACTCCTTCCACAGACACTAGTCGATGAGCACCAAACCTTATGACAATCTTGTCTGCAGAGGGCGTCAGCAAAATCTATAGACAGCAAAACCAAGTAGTGTTAGCTTTTCTTTATACATAGTCCTCACGTCCCAGTTTTCAGTAGTTAGCCTATCTTTTTTTGAAAGATGGCATGACAGTAACATCAGTAACATTGATGAAGTATTCCAACTTCATATTTTCCTGACCCTGTTTTGTAATATTGCATAACAACAGTCAATCAATCCTTAAAAACAATTATGCATAAGAGATAGTAATTTCGGGAACTACTTGATACTAATATTTTTGCTGAATGATAATTATTCCTTCGACATACTTCTTCAAACGAAATGAAAATTACGACAGCATCATCTAGTAAATCTAAGGCGCTGGTTACGATCAGCAGAAGTTAACTTAAAAGTGAACTGAAGCCTTGACAGCAGAGAAATTAAGATAAAATAAGTAGTTATTTTCCGCTAGTTCATATGTGACGAAATACCCCAAAACAGTTTTGATATCTTTCTTATATATATGCTACCTCGCCAAGTGTGAAAATATGAGGTTTCAATGAAAATATTTGACCTATGTGGCCAGCAATTTTAACTAGTATTCGGTTTGTTCTCACCCGTTAAGGTCGTCAAGAGTTGACCTGTCTTTACAGCCCAGACGTGAGCCTCAAATGTGTCCAAGCTACCTGCAGCGACCATTTCAGCAAGCTCATCCACGGCCAACGAAGCAAACTGAGTCTCATGGCCGGATAGATCCACGGAAAATGTGCGGAAGTTACGATATCTAACATTGAAATAAAAATGAAAAAACAGAGGAATGGATTAGTACCGCAGATAGTAAGTAAGTTGTTATGGAAATCGTGAGATCAAGCTGTCCGAAGTCTTGTCATGGTACTCATAAAACTTTATAGCGTCGGGCCGTGGTCATCGAGATCGATTAAAAAACACAACAAAGTAGCAAAAATGGAGTACAATTACATTAAATAGATTCAGGTATTGATAAGATTCACTGGTGAATAAGTTGCGAGACCTAAACAAGTCATAATCTGAAAGGAACAGTCCCATGTTTTTCTTGGCCACAATGCATCCAGGCCGCGTTACACACAAAAATTAACACCAAAGAACCTCTTAAACCAATCTTACCACGTTAACAATTATAGTTTATACATACTTATTTTGTTACTATATGTGTGAGGAGATCTGCATAAATATGCCGTAAATTAACTCAATTTTTTCAAATTAATTATAGCAAGATCCTATTTAGCAATATTTGCGAAATGATTGGTAATGATGCATGACCTTTAAAGCAGTGATTTATTAAACATGAAGAGAAACTGGGTTTTGAAGAAAGCCTTAATAAATGGATGCTAATTTAACTTTCATTGCCTATAAAAAGGCCTCATCTTGGCCTTACATAACCAAAATTTATACGTTCTGAGCTTTGCTTTGTCATGAAACGGACAATATTAAACCGGAAAGCATCATTTAGGAAAAATTAATAAAAAAAGATAAATCAGGAAAAGGGGTTAATTGAAATACCTACATAGTAGTGTTGATTTGACCTCGTTTTCGCGACTCGTTTGGAGCATCAGGGAGAGCTTGCTTAACGTACCTAGTAATGCGTCTAATGTCACATTATTCGTGATCTCCAGCATCGGACCATTGACTTGGTGCATACCCAAAAGTGTCTCCGACGTCGTCAGTGAGACGCGCCATCGTTAGGACAGAGTAACAACTTATCAAAATGACAAGGAAAGACGAACCACTTGACCCATTTTCTGTTCAACCGTTATAGCATCACTCCTCGTCCACATTTTTATTCTACCTTGTAGTGCTAAATCCAGTTGTAGCGACATACTGTTAGGGGGCATTGGAGCAGACGAGAGCACAGGAAGTGGGTTGCGAGAAAGAGATGCAGTACTGGAAGTTATGATAAAAATAAAGGCAATGAATGACGCCACAACGGTTGAACAGAAAGTTGGTCAAGTGGATTGTCTTCACTTGTCACTTTAATAAGTTGTGACTATGTGCTAACGATGGCGCCTCAATGACGATGCCGGTGAAATGTTTGAAAATGTACTAAGTCGATGGTCCTATGCTGGAAATCATGAATACTATGGCATAGTATGCAGGACTAGATACGTTCCACAAGCTCTTCTTGATGCTCTACACAAGTTTCGAAAACGAGTTCAAACCACCACTATAAAGCTAAAGAAGACTGTGACCAAAGAAAAGACAACAACACTTTTGTGTTCATATCTACAACTTGATTTTATACCTGACTTTACAGAATTAATGAATTGTGATCCCGCAGTTTAATCATGTCTACCATACATGCAAAAATTCGAGTGAATTAGATGTTTTTAAAGTGAGTGTATGTGATCACAACTGCTTTATTACCTAAATAAACTAGCGTATGATATTACAATGCCTACGCTTGTTTTAGGTCACATGTGCGCTGTGTATATGTAATACTATTCAAGTTTTTTCTCCTATTCACTGGCTCATTTAGTTTGCTCTCCCTGTCCATCCACATATGACTATCT